CAGGTGAGACACCAGGGAGGGGAGGCAGCGTGGCCCCAAAGAGACTCAAGTCCAGGGCTTGAGAAGAAGAGAGCTCAGGCCAGTAGCCTTAAACTGGGGCGTGCAGCGGAATCTGTAAGTCAGGCTGCGAATCAAGAATTCAGAGGCCAGGTGTGTGACAGCTAGGCCATCCACGGCCTGGGGAGGAGGGGACGCCGGGAAAGACTGGGTTTGCCAAGTGCCAGGTGACGTTGAGACCTGCCAGGGTGGGATAAGCCCAGCTGTCTTCAGTCACCACGGCAGTTCCCAACTGTGGCTTGTCCTGGGCACCACAGACCCATACGGATGCCTGGGTCCCACCCACCCACAAGAGTCTCACCTCTGGAAACAGAGGAAGAAGAGGCCATGCTGTTCAAGGAGTTGAGAAATAACAGCCACCCTGGTGAGAGAAGCTCAGGTGGCTTAGGACATGTGGCCTCTTGGGTGCAGAGGGGAACGTTGGGCACTGGAGAAACCCAGGCCCACGGAGCCACGGTCTGAGCTCTTCCTGCACGTGGGCCTGCTGACCTGGGGAGCCCAGGGTGTGCATGATGTAGTGAGGGCTTGAGGAGGAGGCTGTGGGCTGCCCCAAGCATGCTGTCCCCCTCCCCCACGTCCCACACCAATGAAATCAGAAGCTCAGGGTGGGACTCCCATCAGGCCTCTGTAACTCTGCAGGTTCCTGACACAGTTCCTGGGGAGGAACAGCGCTCCTGCTGGCTGAACATGGACACCCTTCAGGGGCGTCCTGCTAGGTGGCTGGTTCTGATTGGCAGGTCTGGGGGGCAGAGACTCTGCGTGTCTAACCGGTGCCCAGTTGACACCCACACTGCAGGCCCCCAGACCACACCTGGAGCATGGAGGCTGGACATTCATTTCCAGCCGCTGAGGCAGAAGCAGTTCTCCCACGCCCAGTCCCAGCCCGGCAGGCCAGCAGGCAGGCAGGTGGGTGGGCCCGTGAGCAGGGAACCGAGGTCTCCCGTCTGGCCCTCTGCCCTCTGCTCCCTCCAGGCTGCCAGAACATCAGTGTTCTCCTATCTGCCAAGCCCGGAGAATGCTTTAAACAGAACAGCGCGAGGTTGATGTCCTGCACACACACCTGCGGCCTCACTCACAGCCCCCAGGGCCCAGGTGGGGCATCCTCCTCACAGGGAGGCTGTTTATGAGGATCCAAGACCCCACTCTTTTCAGCACCCCCACCCTTCCCTTTCCCTAGGGGCACCGTCTGTGACCCACGCCTAAAAGCCCTGCCCAGCCCAAAGCAGCAGGCACGGAGGGGGCAGCCGAAATCCAAAGTTTTAGGTCCAAGTGCAAATCCTGGCTCCGTCCCTTCCTAGCTGTGTGACCTTGGACAAGTTAATTAACCTTTCATTGGAGCAGTATTTTTTTTTATTGTAAAATATGTGAAATAATGATCAACCTCTCACGGTTGCTGGATAAATCGATTCGAGGATATACGGATATAAGTGGATATAAAACCCAGACGCATAAGGAGAGCGCATTACGCTGATGAATTAGAGGACGGGGCGGGCGGATCTCCAAGCATGGCGTCCCCTGCCTGGTGGTCACCCTTCCGAGGTACTCCTCCCATCCTGCCCATGTTATCCTGCTGTGGCCGTCCCCGAGCTGACTCCAGTCCCTGATCCCTGCCTCCCTCTCCCCCTGCAGACATGGGCAGCTTTGAGGAGGGTGAGAAGCACCAGAGTGTCTCCCACGGTGAAGCCGCAGTCATCCGCGCCCCACGCATCGCCAGCTTCCCCCGGCCGCAGGTGACCTGGTTCCGCGATGGCCGCAAGATCCCGCCCAGCAGCCGCATGTGAGGCCCCACTCTGGAGGGAGCAGGGGGAAGCTGTTCCTGGGGGAGGGGTTGGGGGTCAGCTAAACGCAGGGGAGGGTCGACCCTGCAGAAGCCTCGCTCGGCTCTTCTGGGACGTGGCCAGCCTGGGCTCCTGGCAGAATGGCCACACAAGTTAGGTTTGCCAGGGGCTTTCTTGGAACCTACGTGCCAGGACTTGGGGCTCCCAGGGAATCCCAGGGCGTGTCTCTGCTCTTGGCTGGAGACAACTCTGCCTCTCAGAGGACTTAAAATACCCAAGCAGGCAGCACAAGGCGCGTCGCCATGGCGACAGGCCCAGGACTCAGGCCAGCACAGGGGTGGTGGCGGGCGCAGGCGGTTCCGTTGTACGGGTGTGGCTGGGTGTCCTGGGTGCGAGGGTGTGTCTGCTCGGGCGGCAGGAAGTTGGTGTGGCCAGGGAGGCCGGGCAGGGAGGGCGACACACGGGGCTTTCAGGGCTCACAAGGACCTTCTGTGCGCCCCTGGCTGGGGAGTGACGCCGCTAACGTCCCTCAGGCCCACCGAAGGCGGGAGGGACAGCCGGCCTCCAGGAGGTCCCCTGGGCTTTCCTCTCCGGGCTGCCAACTCTCCCCTCTCCCAGAAAGACCAGCTGCTCCCCATCTGCTCAGGCTGCCACACTGACAGGACAGAGCCCGTCCTGGTCCCTGAAGCAAGCGCAGGGGTAGACGGACGGCTCTTTGGGGAGCGCGAGGACCCGCGGTGGAAACACAGTAGCCATAACAGTAATGTCATAGTGATAGGAGTGACTGTCATTTATCACGGGACAGCTGTGTGCGCTCACACTCCCATTCCCCCAGGGCTGCTGTAGCGGGTGTTCTCCGCCTCCCGCCCCCAGAGCACATGCTCCAGAAACACTTGCTGAATGCAGGATCCCAGGACGAGCCCAGGAAGTGGCTGGCTCTCCCCCACTGCACCCACAACAGGGTGAAGCCCCCACCGTTACCACTTTCCCAAGTCTCAGAGGGAGCCAGGATGGCTCATCCCTCCCTCTGGGAGGGCAAACGGCACAGACACGCGCAAACCCCTGCGCTTTGGAGACCGTGTCCTGGCCCAGTGATCCTCGACCTAGCCATGGAACTCTCTTGGGGGCTCTAAGATAGACTGACCCTTGAGTTCCGCCCTAAGGTACTCTGATTTATTTGAAATGGAGAGCCATCGGGAAGTAGGAATGTTTTAAAAGCTCACCAGGTGATTCTAAGGCACAGCCGGGGTCAAGAACCCCTCCTAGTATGTAACAGCCATCTACAGCCACAATGTGCTCTGTAACAAAACATCCCAATGGCTAAAACAATGAGCAGGAGCACTTAGAAAATTTTCTTAGGCATCTACAGGTGGGTGGTATAGGCTGGCACTTCTTCCTGAGGTTGGCCGGCCACTGACCAGCCTCGAAGGGCCTCATGCTGGCCGACAGGTGACTGCTCTGATCTAGGCATCATCCTCCTGACAGCTAGCATGTTGTCTGGTGGTTGCAGAGGAGCAGGAGAGGAAGCAGAAACTCGTATTTTTAAGTCTCTGCTAACATCCATTTGGCCAAAACAAGAACATGGCAGAACTCAAAAGCCCGCGTGTGCCAGGGGACCTGGAGAGGACGGCAGAGTCACCAGGCTCAGAGCAAGGTGGAGAATGGGGCAGCAGCCGGGGTTCCCGGGTGGACTGACAGCGTAGGTCAGAGCCCACCCCTTAGAACTAAGTTTCAATGAAGCCAGCAGAACTTTCGCCCCAGCATGGAGGCTGGGGTTAGGCTGTAGACAGGGTGCTCTATGCAGAGCACAGGCGCAGGGCAGGGAGAGGCATTGGTGCCACGCTAGCTCCCTTGATGCGGTAATCTCACGCACCCAGGCGTATCAAGACATCCTGCAAGCCATCGATTGGTAGTGTCTGTCCAGAGCACAGAATGGAAAAGGGTTCTGAGGCCCCACCCAGGCTGGTGGGAAAGAGCACGGTGGTGGATTGGTAATATCTGCCCAGCTAGGGGAGGGGGCTGTGCTGTGCTGGAGGAGGCCCTCACGCCCATCCTCCCTTTCCTAACACCTTCCCGCCTCCTTTTCCCACTCCAGGCCTCTGTCCTCACCTGCTTCCCATTCCCAGAACCCTCTGGCCCCAGGACAGAGTCTCCCTGACCTGCACACACACACGCACACTCACACACACACACCACCACCCAGTCCTGCCAGACACAGGCTAGAACTCTGGGTTGCCTCTGTCTTGGCAACTGCCACACCCATCACTGAACAGAGAGGGTCCTGGAAGCCGCTCCCTGGTGTCTGCACGTCAGAGCTCCGTGTCTGATGACCACCGTCAGGCGGAAGGGCCTGTGGGGTGCCCGGGAAGGCTGCTGCCACCACCCGCCTGGGCACCGTCACACCAGGCCCCAAGCTCTGTTGAAAACGAGACAAGATTCCCAACAGAGATGCCTCCTAGGGGCTTTGGGCACAGCCTAGGACGGTTTATTTTATTCTTAATTGAATTAATGCTTGAACCCCTCGGAGCTAAGGAAAGGGGGTAACCAAATAGCAGCAGCAGGCAGGATGTGGTGGGGCCCATCAGAGGAGTGGACAAGGCCCAGGACATGGTAACCAGGGTGTGGCTGGAAAGGACAATCCAGCCCCTGTCTGAAAGTGAGAGTCCAGTGCCCCCCAAAGTCCCGCCCCTGGGGATCCTTCGGCATGAGTGTGTCCGGGCCCAGCAGAGGGGACACCCTCCCTGGTGCAAGAGCAGCTTGCACCCTAGGACTGAGCATGCATCATTCTGTGATGTCTCTCATGGTCCCCAAGCAGAGGGCAGGAAGCCCAGGGACCCTCCTGGCCCCCTGCTGGGTCGGGCAGCAGGTTAGAAGGCCTGTCTGCCTCCTGTCCTGCTCCACGTTCAGTACGGAACCCAGGCCCCACAGGCGGGCCCCAGGCCAGGTGCTGGTGCAGACAAGGCCAGCTGCAGTAACGGACACCCCAGTCACAGTGACCTGATCTCACAGAAGTTGATGTCCCCCCTCCAGGAAGTCCTGCCCAAATGAGGGACAGGAAGGGTACCCTCCTCCACAGTGGCCAGAGCCCAGGCTGATGGGGCTCTGCTGTCCTCGACACAGGCCCTCAAGCCACCCTGCTCCAACAGAGGGGAGAGGTGGCCCGGATGGAGCAGGGGCCCTACGGTCCACGCCTAGAGGCACACATGTGCCCTGCGGCCCTCCGTCCACACACCTCCTGCCTGCCCCGGCAGGACGCTGTACAGTGCCCCTGGCTTCCCGTCAGCTGTGCTGATCTCCAGAAGGAAATCCTGGCACCGAGGTGGACAGCGGCCATCCCTGCCAACTCCATGTCTCCGCCTAGGACAGGCGAGGACAGGCTATCACATGTGCAGATCTGCTTTCTGTTGCCAATGACGCCTCAGGCTGGCGAGTTATAAAGGGAAGAGGTTTATTCGGTCTCAGGATTCTGGAGGTGCAAGATGGAAGGCACATCTGGTGGAGACCTTGCTGGCAGGGTCCCCAGGGGGTTCAGGGAAGGCCACACAGCAAGAGACAGGGAGTGCATGTGTGTGTGTGCCTTCTGGTCTCTCTCCCCCTCTTTTAAAGACACCAGGACTCAGTCTTGGGTCCCACTCTGACCACCGTATCTCTTCCCAGTCCCCCCCAAGGCCCCACCTCTGAACACGATACTTAGATTAAGTTTCCGTCCCCTTAACCTCTCACAGTGGGGGTGGAACCCCAGCAGATGAACCTTGGGGGACAATCCATACTGCAGACATCCACCTTTGGGCCCAGTCACCCCGCTTCGCGGGGCTTGAGGATGCCTGCCAAGCTGCCTCCCGGGCCTCCACACGAGCTGTCAGGTGCACCCATGGCAGTGGCAACAAAGCCTTGTGCAGACATCCTCAAATGTCCCCCAAGGGCAGAGTCCCCCCAGGTGGAGAGCCACCGACCTAGAAAGACCCACCATGACATACACCAAGTCCACCTCCCCCATTTCCTTAGCTCCAAGGGGTCCAAGCCAAGTTCAGTCTTGGTGGCCGGGGCCGGGGGTGTGGCTGGGGAAGCTGGGGCCTGTAGAACCATCCTGAGTCCCGACGCTGGGCTGTGCCAGGTGAGGGTCACGGGTGGGGGGCAGGTGGTCTCATGGGCTGTCTCGGGCCCCGTGGGGATGAAACAGAGACAGAGACAGGAATCAGAATCCCTCACCTCCAGGCTGAAGGCATCCTAGCAGGCACTGGCTCCCACCTGTGTGCAGGGAGGGAGGGAGGCCCAGCTGGGAGAACAGCAGGCTCCTCAGAGGCTGGGGGCCCCAGCCCAGGCTCCCTTCCCCCAACCTCAGCCACCCCGACAGGCTGCTCCAAGGTCCCTGCAGGAGACTAGCAGGTGGGGGGGAGTGGGGGGGGGTCACCTCCCCCGTCCTGTGTTGTCACCTTCAAAACATGTTAGATTGGCTCTGCTCCCACCTATCACCCCATTAGCTGAAGCTTAAAAGAACTCTCCAGAATCAAAAAAGAGAATGGACAAATCGTTAGGGTTTCTAGGCGCTGGGGGCGGGAGGACTCACTTCCTATTGCCCAGATTCCTCGGCTGGTGTGAGTCTCAGCCTGCGATGGCCCAGGACCAGGAGCAGGGACCCAGCACCCCGAGGCTGGGCGAGAGCCGGGCCGGAGCCGCGTTAGTGAGGATGCTGATTTGAGAGCCTGTTTAGAACCCTGTAACATTCACCTAATGGGAGAATTTGAAAGGAATTCAGCTGGATTTGTCCTTGTTAAACTCACATTAAGGGTGTTTAACAGCTGTCTCGGGCACATCACATTACCATCCCGAGATAGACTTGGCAAACTAATGGGTTTGTTTGTCGTCGGGAGAAAGGGTGAAGGGAGCGGGCAGAGCCAGCCTGGGCGACACTCCCCGCGCCGCTTCCTCTGCACAGGAGGGGGACTGGCTTTCAGGGACCCTGTCTCCTGAGGGTCTGCCTACCGGGAGCCCAGCAGAGGCACCAGCCGGGGGGCTGCGGCCCCTCTCCACCCCCGTAGCACAGCCTGCCTCCCTTCTCACCCCGCCAACCAGCCCAGCAGCTCCCAGGAGTGTTCGCAAGCTGTGGGGAGGGGGAAACTGACCCCTGAGGAGGGGACCGGGGGAACAGGACCCCAGAAGTCTGTTCCAGGCAGCCTGTCACCTTCAGTCCACTAGGCAATGTTAGGATTAGGGTTGAGGAGGCCGGGCTCCTCAGGAGGCTGAGACAGGAGGATTGTGCAAGACCAGCCTCAGCAACTTAGCGAGACACTGTCTCTAAATAAAATCCAGAGGGGCTGGGAATGTGGCTCAGTGGTGGAGGACCCCTGGGTTCAATTCCTTCTACCAGAAAGGGGTGAGGGCTGAGGCGCTGATCCTGGAAGGCCCCGGTCATTTCCACTTCATGACTTGTTGGTCACTCATTCTGTGAGCATCACTGAGGCACCCAGATGCTTGTGCTGCGGCAGAGGTGACCCCTCAAAGCCATAGGACAAAATCCCACTGGGGCCCATGGAAAAGGGCCCCGTCTTGGGGTCGGGTAAGGGAAGCCTCTTGAAGCCAGTCTTGAACCCCAGGCCTGACCTTGAGATTCTCTGCACAGTGGCTGAGGAGGCAGGGAGGCCGGGAGAGGATAGTAGAGTGGGGCCTCTTCCCAGCTGGGGAGGGGAGAGTAGAGTGGGGCCAGCCACTTCGGGTCCCTGCCCTGCGTCCCTGGAGACTCAAGAGCCCTGGGGCCCCTGTCAAGGAATCCTTTCCTCTTCCCAGAGCCATCACGCTGGAGAACACCCTTGTCATCCTGTCAACGGTGGCTCCCGACGCGGGCCGCTACTACGTGCAGGCTGTTAATGACAAGAACGGCGATAACAAGACCAGCCAGCCCATCACTCTCGCCGTGGAGAGTAAGTAAGCTCAGGGCCTGGGACCGGCACAGAGCGGGTCATTAAATCTTGGGAACGGTGCTCCAGAGGGTCATTGGGAAGATGGAATGGCAGCGGGGTGTCTGGGGATGGCAGGGAGGGACCCTCCCAGGGAGGAAGCACGCGGGGGCAGGGGGAGTACCAGGGAGAGGCAGAGGCTGCTCCCTTCCGGAAGCCTGCGACCCTGCATCAGGAGAGGGATGTCTAGAGTGGCAGTCAGCAGGGTCCCTGGAGGCCAGGGAGGCGGGGGACAGGGCGAGAGGCGGTGAGCACGTGTGGCTTCCAGCCGCCCGGGCTCAGGTGCTGCCAGAGGAGCACCCGGGAGATCGGAAGCTCGTTGGGAAGAAATACGCCAGCTGCCTCTGCTCGGCTGGCACAAGAGCTGCTCCCAGGCAGAGCCAGGCGCCCCCCACCACGGGACACAGGCTCTCCCCAGGCTCCGGCTACACATGCACCCAGAGGCCCTTGAAGGGGACTCCTCAGGGTCCTTTGGCAAAATGATCCGTGTCCAGCAGAGAGTGGAGCCAGGTCCCTGTCCTGGTTCCCTGGCCACACGGTGCCCTCCGTCCAGGCTCCGCCCCCAGGGTGGAGAAGCAGAGCAAGTGGCTAGGGGGCAGCCCGGGCACAGAGTCACCAAGCCTGGGGCAAAACCAGTGCTTCTGGCAGCAGCCGAGCACTGCCCAAGCTGGGGGAGCCAGATGTTCACGTCCGTCACATCTGTACCACTCCCACTCCCAAAGCGAGTGTCATTTGTCATCTGTGGTCCCATCGGCACGCACCCACCACCAGCAAGATGAGGGTGGGGGCAACGTAGGACCTTGCCCGATCCCCACCTCTGTCTGCCCGTGCTCAGTTATCCCAGAACATTCCCGATCCATATTCCAGGATTTTGCAAGCTCCGGCAGAACCCCTTCCCACGTTCCCAGTAATCTCCTTCCTCCAACCCGGGGTTGCAATACGCCAAGAAAGACATCTGGATGCAGGCAGGAGAATCCCACTGCACCCTGACCCACCAGAGTCACAGTGTGACCTCTGACACTGACCTGAGCCAAGGTCTCAGTGGGTCCCACAGCCTGGGGCTGCCCTGCGTGAGCCGGCTTCCTGTTTCTATAGGAAAAAGGAATCCGCCCCTCGAGGGAGATGTTTTCCCATCTGTTCTCTAGTGGTCCTCTTACCTGGATTCTCATGAAACCTGGTAATGTGTCAAAGGCAAGGTCAAAGACACAGAGTGGCTTGTGGTCATCTTCCCGAGCGACTCAGAGTACCCTGGCACCCAAGGTCAGGAAGGCTGCATTCTGAGTCCCCCCTCCAGCACCCAGCCCCTCCTGGAGGGAGTCAAACAGCTGCTCTCTGGGCTGAATGTTGGGGTTACCCACGTTCTGCTCCATCTCCAGCCACCACAGCCCTCGGCTGGCCCAGGGGAGGCAGGCAGTGCCCCTCCGCCACCCGCTGCTCTGCTCCTGCTCCCGCCTGGTGATTTGTGCTGGATCGAGAGCGGAGTTGGCTGATTTTTAGCTAATTTCCCCTCCCACAAGTGATTGCACTTCAAAACCCTGCTCCTCACGCTGACACAAATCCCCAGCTTGCCTGCCTGCCCGCCTGCCCGCCAGTCTGTGAGCAGGAGCGGCCTGTTCGCCCACCACCAGCTCCGCTCCCCTGCTCTCTAGTGCAGCGCAGCCGCCTCCCGGCCCAGCCCCTCCTCCATCCCTCAGCTCACGAGCCCCAGAGCAGACCTCGTGGGGAGCCATGCTTCTTGGAAATGGAGAAGGAGGAAAGGGCTGGTGATCCCAGGAGTCCTTCCCTGCCCGCGGTAGCCCAGGGACTTCGCTCAGGCTGTCACAGCTCTGAAACCCGCCACCTGCGTGGTGGCCCCACACCTGGGGATCAGAGCCGCATGGAAGATAGCGCGTCATACACAAGGTTTTAAATTTTCTGGGAACCCCATTTTTTGCAAAGTAAAAAAAAAAAAAGCAGAATTAATTTTATTAATATATTTTATTAACCCAGCATTTCCAAAATATCTTTTAAATACACCTTCCTATAGGAAATATAGCATATTTTCCACTTTTTTTTTCTTGCATGTGAAGTCTTTGAAATCCACGCGCATTTTACACTTAGAGCGCGTCTCAATTCCTCTCCATTCTGATGCTAAATTTTCTCCTAAAATACGTGATCTGTATTTAGATTTCGTAAAATTTACAGCTGAAAAGGTAGAGTCTTATACCCAAGTTGTTCCCGTACATACTTAAGTGTTCTAATAACTGAATTGGGATCTGTTTTTTTTTTAATTAAATGTAAATTAGTTAAAATTAAGTCACATTAAATCAAAGGGGCACCAGCCGCACTTCAGGTGCTCTGGAGGCATAAGTGGCACCCTGGGCTGGGGGGTGGGGTGGGTTTGAAGGCCTGGGTGCCCTGGGGCTCAGGATGTAGGAGGCCCAGGTGAGTCTTGTGGTCCCCAGCCTCGTTCCTCTTCAGCAGAGCCATGTTTGTGGTGGCCCTTATGAAAATCCTCTGGGGCAGCCCGATCCAAACGTGGCCCCTGTGTGGGCAGCCCTCTGCTTCCTCCTGTCCTGGGTACAGGACGGGTCGCCTCCACCCACAGTAACTAGCGCTGCCCCAGGACCAGCCCACACCCGCTTCTCACGCCCGTCAGGACAGGTGCCATACTTCAGCTCCAGCTAGTGGCAGGGGACCCCCCCACACACAATAGGCATGTGATGGGTTTAGAGAGAAGACCCTCACCCCGAGGCTCTTGTCTCCCGCCGCCCTGGCCTTTCTGGCTCACCGGCTGTCCCTGCTCCTGGCTGTGTGCAGTTTGGGGAGGCACACCCCTGTGCTTGGTGCCTGAGCCAGCCCTGCAGACCTGGTGACAGAGGGACCCCCCAGCAGAGAGCACCCGACAGCCCGGTGTGTCCCGCCACCCCCGTGGCCATCTCTGATGAGTCCCAGGAGGAGAGCCGATGTCCCTGTGGGGCTGTGTCCTTGGAAAGGTGGCGGGGTCTCCTCCTGACTGCAACAGTCACCCAAGGGCCCTGCTCTCCCCACCCCCGCTCAGCCTTTGTCCCAGCTCCCAGCCGCCACTTGCTGCCCCGCCCTCTGGACACTGGGCTTGGTTGCCCCCTCCCTGGTGCCCTTCCCAGAGCCTCCAGACCTGCTGTCCCTGCTTTGGGTCTCTGCTGGTTCTTCCCTCGATGTCACATCCCTGCCTCCCCTGACATGAGCAAGCCCAGTGTCCAACAAGTGGCCTCTTGTTCCTCCCGTTCTCCCCAGTCCCTGGTCCTGGATCTCGCTGTGTCCCCCACACACCTGCACGGATGGCCCTCCAGCGGCCTCCACCCTGTATCTCTAAGCATGTCCACCCCGCCACCAGTTCAGACAGTGTGACAGAATCCAAATTGGCCCGTCTCCCTGGGAACCAGTTCCTCCTGGGCTCTGCAAAAGGGGCCCCCTCTCAGGCGTCCAGTCCCTAAACCGCCATTACTCCTTCAATCTCCCTCCACCCCAGACCATGGCCACGCCCCCCTTCATTCTCCCCTTCACTACCCGGGCTCTCCTCAGGGCAGCTTCCAGTCCAGACAGGCTAGCTGATCCTCAGCAGTCCACTCTGGCTGCCTGAGCAGGGGTGGGACCATCACGCAAGCTTGCTCCGACCTCTTGGGTGCACTGTGTTAAGGAGGATTCTGAGACACATCTGGGCTCAGCTAAGAAAAGCGCTGAAACCCATTACGCTTCATCCCGCAGAGGAAGGGGCGGCCTGGGAAGGGGCAGCCAGCAGGGCTGGGCCCTGGAGCTCTGCAGGCCATCCCGCAGCCCCCATTCTGCAACACCCTCCCTCCTCCTCCTCACTCCCCTGAGCCCCACTCAAGTCTCAGCATCTACCATGAAGCCATCACATACCACGTCCCCAGGAGGCAGGAGGTGCCTGTCCTCTCCCTTGGTCTGGAGGCCCCAGGAGTCTGGCACCCACCTCAGGAGCCCTGGGGTCCATCGCTTGATCCGGGGTAGTAGGGAGAGCTCTCTCCAGCACCGGCAGGCAAATCCCCAGGGAGTGTCATTTATTAAGTGCCTACTGTGTGTGGGCACTCTGCGCTCACTACCGACCAGCTGTGAAACATGAGCCCTGCTCTCCTCACCCCCATCACCAGCGTCTTCCGGCCCTTAGATGTGTGAGCACTGCCCACTCTGCCTCCCAGGCTGTGTCCCCCAGAGGACTGACCTCAGTAGGGCACCTCTGGCTCCTGGCCTGCACCCAGAGCTCACCCAGGAAGCATGGGTTGAGGGGGCAGTGCTGAATGCACACAGCCCTCGAGGTGGCAATTCTTTCCCCTTTTGCCACCGAGAGAACAGAAGGGTGAAGGGAAGTAGCCCATTGAGGTCACACCCCAGGACACGGCCAGGGAGAGGCTTTGAATCCAGGCTTCCGAAACCCAAGACCCCCGTCCTCTGCCACTGTGGCTCCTCTCCATCCCTCCAGGCTGCTGCCCAGGTACCTGCCCCAGGGGCCCTTGCTGGGTCCCACTCCCCTCCCTGCCCGACACAGGAGGCAGCCCCCGCCCAGGGCAGCCGCATTCCTTCATCTCTGCCCGCCGCCCGCCGACCGCCTTCCTGGGGGCAGCCCGTGCGTCTGGCTGTGTGCACTCCAGCTTGGGCTCTAACTGTCTGTCTCCTCCTTGTGCCCCATTAATCTGGGCCATGGTACCTGTGCGCCCCAGCATGTAATAAACAACTTAGAGCACACTTTTATGGATTCAGCTATATCAGCAGCTTTCAATCCGATCGCGCTTTATGGCGCCTACATGAGACTTTTATATTGTTGCAATTATTCTGCTTTATATGCTCCCTTTCCTGGCCCCTTCATTTTACTTTATTTTCACATTTTATTCCCATTCTTCCTGAGCCTCCCCTAGCAAGGCCTAGAGTTCAGTTGGGAAAACTGCCAAGGCTGACCAGTGTTGCCCGGAGGGGCCGTTGGCCACTGCATGTCCTCCTCCTGACCCCACAAAGGATGTCCTGCCACTGTCACTTGAGGCCGTGCAGGCCGTGGTGGCTGGATACCTGCAGGGACTCCTGGAAAGAGGCCAACAAGGTAGATTTGTTGCAAGAAAAAAAAAAGTGCTGTGTTTCAGGGGCCCTGGAGCAGGGGTTCAGAGGATGTTGGAGTTTCTGCCAATACTGGGCCTGCACTGACCCACAAAGAGAAGAACTATCCACCTCCTAAAGAGTCCAAGACACACTGGGCACGGTGGCATACACCTGAAATCCCAGCGATTATGGAGACTCAGGCAGAAGGATCACAAGTTTGAGGACAGCCTCAACATATTAGCAAGACCCTAAGCAACTTAGTGAGACCCTGTCTCAAAATAAAAAATAATGTGGCTCAGTGGTTAAGCACCCCTGAGTTCAATCTCCAGTACCAAAATAACAACAACAACAACAACAACAACACAGGACAGAAAACACTACCCCCCCCAATGTACATGTTCTTTTTTCTTTTCTTTTTCCTTCAATAAAGCCCCCTCAGTCCTCCACCCTGGGAGTGCCACAGTTTCAGCTGCAGCCCTGCTCATTGCTGACATGAACGTATCTGAGCACCTACTCGGTGGCGGGGGTGGGTCTCTGTGCTGGAGAAGTGGACCAGCAGGACCCTGGGTCAGCTCGCGCTGCTGTAACAAAGCTCCCCAGGCGCTGAGCAGCAGACAGCCACGCTCCTGTCCTGCAGACCTCCTCCTGGAGCACACCAGTCGCTGTGGGTCACAGCCCACCTAACCCAGCGTGGCCTGGCCAGGGCTACCTATATCCACAAAGACCCCATTTCCAAAGGAAGTGCATTCCCATCTGCCCGTGAGGAGGGTCGCGGCTCGACTCCGTGTGGAGTCTGCATCTGGGGAGGAGACGGACAGTGAGGAAGTAAACTAACTAGGGAAACTGAGTCAGGAGAAGGGTTCTGAGGGCAGTAGGGAGGGCTGGGGGTGAGGTGTGGCTGCTTCCCCGGAGGAGCACGGAGGGCCTTGGCGGCCAGCAGGGTCCTCAGGGGGCTGTCCCTGGTCACCACAGAGCGCATCACAGAGCAAGAAGGGAAATGACAGTCCCTGGGGTCAATGTCCAGAGGGCAGCACTGGGCTGCCTCTGCGGCCACCTGCCCCACATCAGGGGTCAGAGATCTCCCATGGCCTGGCCAGGAGGGGTCGGAACTTCCAATCTCTGTGCCCAGCTCACCCCGACCTCTCCCCAGATGTCGGAGGGCCCGCCGACCCCATCGCACCAACCATCATCGTCCCTCCCAAGAACACCAGTGTGGTGGCCGGGACCTCGGAGGTGACCATGGAGTGTGTGGCCAATGCCAGGTGAGTGGGCCTTCCTTTTCTGCTCCTTGTCCCTCCTAACTCAAGCCACTGTTCTGGGGAATGCGGTTGCAATTGAGAAAGTTCTGGAAGCTCTGTCGGGTGAGGACCAGGAGAGCAGAGGAGAGACGGCCGGTGGATGCTCCAGCTGTTGCCCAGGGTGTCGGGTAGGAGCAGGGCTGTCTCCTCTGGGTCCCAAGAGAAGAGAACAGAACCAGGAAGCAGAGCTCAGCCCAGGCTGCCTGGGGCCAGTGGGAGGTGGAGACGCAGCAGCACAGAGAGCAGCACAGAGAGGGCAGAGGGCCTCTCCTTGCCAGCACAGCTAAGCAGAGGGAAGGGTGCATGGGAGATGGGTCATCGCGGTCAAGAACATGGGCTTTGTAGGAGGGAGAATGGGGACCAGGTGCCAGCCTGGCCTGAACTTCCTGCACTTGGGAAGAGTAGAATCATTCCGGGGCCTCCCCCGGTGAGAACACCCTGCTAAGTGCTCCTACTTGACCTCCTTTCTCCCAGCAACTGCCAGCAGCCCAGAGAGGGCAAGCAGCCTGCCCAAGCTCACCCAGCTGGCCGACAGCAGAACTGAAATGCTGCCCCCCCAAGTCCTGTTCACTGCCCTCCTCTGGACTTTGGTCTCCTCATCTGCAAAATGACCGCCACTCAGTGATGTGGCCTTGAGAAGGAGGAGGGATAGGGGGAGGAGAGGTGGAAAACCTCACTGTAAGGCAAGCAGGTAGGGTGCTGACCCCAGGCTGACCTGGTACCTTCTAAGTGCTCCGAAAACCGATGGGAAGAGTTGAAATGTGATGGGTGAAGAGCTGAATGACATCCTAAGGTCACCTACAGCTGAAGGTCCCTGGAGGGCTGGTCCCTGTAGCCACAGTTCTAGAAATACGCTGTGCAGAACCCGAGTATGCGACAGTGGCCAAGATACACAGTAAAGGCCTTGAGAAGTTCCGCATCGGAGAACCTGGCCAACTCCATAGGACCCAGCGTTTCCAAACTACAGGACCTCACAGGACCCCCCTGAGTGCCCGGGGCAGCACAGACCTCATTCATAGAGGGAAGGCCAGGTGCAGGGCCAGGGGAAGGAAGCCCAGCCAGGCTGCCCTGCGCAGCTACCCAGCGTCGCCAGCCCTGCCCAAGCACCTCAGCTCACTAACCTCTTCACCCCCAGCCCCGCAGGCGCCCACACAGGCCCAGAGCACTGAGGGGCTCGCCCTGTGTGGGCGTCCAGGAGTGGCCGGGCGTGGCCCGAGGGGGCGGGACACTCCACTGCTCCCGCCCCCGCCCCTCCCCCAGGCCCCCTGCAGCCCAGCACCAACACCGCCCCCCTCCCCGCAGGCCCCTGATCAAGCTGCACATCATTTGGAAGAAGGACGGGGTGCTGGTCTCGGGTGGCATCAGCGACTACAACCGGCGGCTCACCATCCCCAACCCCACGGTCAGCGACGCCGGCTACTACCAGTGCGAGGCCGTGCTGCGCAGCAGCAGCGTGCCCCCTGCGGCCCGGGGGGCCTACCTCACCGTGCTGGGTGAGGCGCTGGGGCTGCGGGGCTCCCCTGGGCAGCGTGGCCGAGGCCTGGGGGAGGGTGACCCCACAGTGGACCTGCTCTGATCTCCTCCTTTGGTCCCCCTGCAGAACCTCCTCAGTTTGTCAAGGAGCCAGAGAGACACATCACAGCGGAGATGGAGAAGGTGGTGGACATCCCGTGTCGCGCCAAAGGTACCACGGGGTGGGGGTGGGGGGGGACAAGGACCCCAGACCCGCAGCCCCTCCCCTGCCCGGCCACCATTTCCAAATCCCCCCCCCTTCTAGGGCCACATCATGCAATGGAGCGCCAGTCTGGCTGTGAGCAGCAGCCCTGGGAAACAAACAGGCCAAATTACCGTAATCTCAGGCTGGAAATCAACCCGTGTCATCATAACTTGAGGGTTACAAATGAACCCAAATTACCGTAATTTCAGCACAGGTGACAGATCCAAATTGCCCGTAATTTGAGAGTTGTAGACAATGCCAAATCATCCTAACTTCAGAACCAGCAGGCCCGGGCTGCTCTCACTTGAGATGGGTCCCGGAGCCCCGCCCACTGCTGGGGCCCGTGCTGGTCACCCCCGCACCCCTCACCCCCACCCCCAGCTCCCTGGTCGAGGCTCCGGGAGGATTTCCATTTTTCCATCCTGGCTCTCCCTCCTGCGGCAGCTGGGCTGAGCCAGGGGATAAAGCGGAAACCGTGGACCAGCGGACATGGCCAAATACCCGTCACAGGGCAGAGGGTCGCCCCAGCAGGAAGGAGCCTCCCTGGAGGGGCCGCTCTCCCAGGCAAAGAGTATCCGTGGGGGGCTTTCCGTGGGCCAGGATTGTTCTCAGGGCAGGGGGCGGGGTTTACAGAATGAGCCCAACAGCCAACTCCGGGTTGTTCTAGAACTTACATTCTTGCCAAGGAGATGAGCAAAGCTATAAACAAAGACACCGTATTTCATCCCATCTAAAGTGCCACGAGTTGTAAGGTGCCCCATGATTTTACGAACCACTAAGAAAGAAACAAGGCTGCCGATGAAAAGATGACGGCTGTCAATGCCAGACGCCTCCTGCTCTCCAGGACTTGGCAGAGGGAATGGAGGAGCCCCCTCTGTCCCCGTGGGGTTCCAGGAACTCCAGGCCTGGGGGCGCAGAGCTGTGGGGTGCCCCTCTCAGGAGGCTATTTGAGCAGAGACGCAGAGAGAGGGAGGGTGGGATGGGGAAGAGCCCTCTGGGACCAACCCCCAGGGGCCTCTGGAGGAACCCAGCCCTCTCCCGCCCTCCCCACGGGCTCTGTGCTCAGGTGGGTTTGGGAACCCATCCTCAACGTGGAGGTGCTCAGAGACATAAGTCTCTGCTAAATATTGCAGTAAAAAAAAAAAAAAAAGTTTAAAAATCCATTTGTCCAATCCACCATTTCCAAAGTAGACTGTTCCCGATAAACCAGTCTTTTCATTTTCCTAAAATCCCTACTACATCCAAATGATTTGAGAACTGCCACTCAGGTAGCATCCTTCCCTTCGCTAGAACCAAAAGTGACGCCTCTGGGAAGGTTCTAGAGGCCGAGACACCGGGACCCCCTTGTCCACTTCAGCCTGGCCTCTGCCCAGCAGCCCCCAGGGAGGTAGCAGGAGGCACTGACTCCGCCCCCTGGCCCACAGGTGTGCCGCCGCCGTCCGTCACCTGGTACAAGGACGCTGCAGTGGTAGAGGTGGAGAAGCTGCCCCGCTTCAGGCAACATGGTGACGGGGGCCTGCAGATCAGCGGCCTGGTGCCTGACGACACCGGCATGTTCCAGTGCTTCGCCCGCAACGCGGCTGGCGAGGTGCAGACCTCCACCTACCTGGCCGTCACCAGTGAGTGGGCCTCTCCCATCCTGTCCCTGACCCTGCCCCAGCCAGGGCCTCGAGAGAGCAGCGTGCCCTGGGATCCCAGAAGGCCCCTTGCGCTGCAGCCTGGGGGTGAGGTCAGTTATGCCCACAGCTTCTGCAGACGGAGAGAGCACTCAGGGGAAGCCCACGGCCCTCGGGGTCCCCTCAGGGCCTGGAGCCAAGGGTGGCTGCAGTGGCTCTGGGAGAGAAGGTGCTTTGGATCCAGGTCCCAGCTCTGGGCTTTCTGCTGGCCCCACGTCCCCTGAGCTGGGGAGAGGACCTGCTCTGGCTTCCGAGGAGGAGAACCAGCGCAGAGACAGTCCTCAGCTGGGAGCCTCCGCTCATGTCCAATGGAGGCTCATCCCGTTTGCCTTGTCACCAGGGTGTGAACTGCTCTCTAGGTCCCCTAAACAGAGCCCAGGTGGGGTGTGTCCCCCCCACATGGCAGTGGCCCAGGGAGGCCTAGGCTCTGCAGCCCTCTTCCCCACCCTGGAGCCTCACCCAAGCCCTGCCCCCTCCCCGGTGGGCTCCTCCCGGGTGGACCTTACTGTCTCTGTCTACAGGCATCGCCCCCAACATCACCAGGGGCCCCCTGGACAGCACCGTGATCGACGGCATGTCCGTGGTGCTGGCGTGTGAGACCTCGGGGGCCCCGCGGCCCGCTATCACTTGGCAGAAAGGTACATGGAGCAGACCTCCAGAAGGTGGGGCTGTGTGGTCGCTAGGAGGGTCCTCAGAACTGGGTTCTGGAGCCAGCCACGTGGGGTCCCCTGACAGCGTAGAGGCTGTGCCCTGCGTGAACAGGGCACCTCTCACTTCACAGTGCTCCGTAGGCTGCCTTGCTGGGCCTCGTCTCCACATGAATCAGTAACTTGTTCCAAGCTTCAGGGGGCCCTTCTGTGGGCTGGGGACGATGACATGAGTACACGGGTGACCTGAAGACCAGTTGGTAGTGTCATGTGTGGCCCGTGTTGTGCTGGAAGCAGTGTCAGCTGGCGAATGGCAGTGTTTGATAGTTACATGGTTGCCATGGGCGCTGTGCTGTCCCTCCTCCCAGGCAGCTCAGGGGTCCCAGATGGCTGGGCCACAATGCCCGAGTGTCCACTATGTCCATCTGCCTTGTGCCCCTCCTCCTGCCCTCTGGGCACCCACAGCCTCAACCTCTTGCTGCAGAGGCACGCACACATGTGCACACACACATGCACACACCAGCCCTACTCAGGTGGACCTTCTCACAGGACTCCGGGCCCTGTCCCCAGCACCCACCCCATGCTCTGCAGCTGTCTCCCCAGGGCCTAGGATAGTCTGGCATGCAGCAGGCACCCACTAAGTACTTGAGGGTGGATGTGGCACAGTCACCCAGCACACACCTGGTTCAGGTGCCTGCCCACATGGGCACATGGACATACCTCTACTTACATGGGGACAGGCGGGGTGTTCTCTAAAATAAAGGGACAGAACCTGTGCTCCAGGCCATCCTGCACTCACCTGTGCATGCTCTCGGCCTCCCCCCACCCCTTTTTCTGTCTATCTCTCCCCCTACCTCCCTCTGCCCAGAACCCCCACCCCACCCCAGGCCAGGCACCGGGCCCCCTGAGTGTCCCTGCAGGTCAGTCTGACAGGGGCTGTGTGTCCCACTCCATGTCTCTCTCTGTCCCTTCCCTGCTCCTTGCCCCTCCCGTCCATCACTGTCCTCTGCTCCCCTAAAGGTGACTCTCTCCAAACACATCCTGTGGCAGGATGTCATCACCAACTTGTCACCTGTCTCCCCAACCCTCCTACCCCCACATCTGGCCCAGGTGCCAGCTGTGGGAGGCTGTGCCCAGCTGCCCCTCACCACCATCGGCAGACAGTGTCTGGCCTTCTCCAGCCAAGGGCAGATAGTGTGGCAGTGAAGATGCCGCAGGAGGCTGGGCCGCAGGTACCACCCTGTAGCCCGGGGCCCTGTGCAGGCCCCCACCCTGCTCCCAGCCCTTGTAGCATCTCCAGAGCGAGGTGTCTGCCCAAGGCCACCTGGAGCAAGGAGGCTTGGGGGATGTGCCACTGCAGGGCTGGGAGCTGCAGGCTGAGCCCACCCGCTGTGTCACCCCCAGGGGAGCGCATCTTGGCCAGCGGCTCTGTCCAGCTGCCCCGCTTCACACTGCTGGAGTCCGGCAGCCTGCTCATCAGCCCCACGCACATCTCCGACGCGGGGACCTACACCTGTTTGGCGACCAACTCTCGGGGTGTCGATGAGGCCTCCGCAGACCTGGTGGTGTGGGGTGAGTGTCTACGGCCAGAGGGCCTACAGGTCTGTGCATGACCGTGTGCACCCCTGCGGGTGCCCGAGACACAGGGACACCTACGGGACTCACACAGTGGCAGTGTCTCCACGCTGGTATCTCTGTCCCAGCCAGGGCCCTTCCTATCAGACGGACAGTGAAGAGTTAATTCAGAGGCCAGGGGCCAGGAGATGAATGAAGGTTCTACCAATGAGGCCACAGGCTGGAGAGTGGGGCCATGCTTGCCTGAGCTGGGGTGGCAGAGAGCTGCCTTCACATACTTGAGGGCAGAAACCAGCAGAGTTTTTTTCCGTAAAGGACCAAATAGGAAATATTTGGGGCTTTGTGGGCCAGACAGTCTCCATCCCAGCTGCCCTGTAACCTCCCTGATGTCCAGAGAGCTGCCGCAGACGGTACCTAACCCAGTGGGCGTGGCCGGGTTCCAGGAAGAGCTTATCGACCCCCTGGGCCACCTGCCGGCTTGGCCCGCAGCCTGCAGCATGCTGACCCCTAATGTAAGGGGACTTTGCAAGCCGCCATCCAACCTGGGACCCACTCCCAAGACTCACGTGCCTGTGGGCGACATGCCCAGACCCAGCGGGGACCTGGGGTACAGCCCTAAACTGGACACCACAGACCCATGTCACCCTGGCAGGCCACTGACAGGCTGGGCCTGGGGCCCTGACCACCCTGAGGTTTCTGTTTCTCTGTCCCTTAGATGATTTGTGAGCAAAGTTAAATGAGCCCCTCTGTGAACGTGGCTTCCAAGAGTCGCCTCGTCTTGGAAGCACACTGTTCCTTTGAAGCCCTGGGACTCCCCCGCAGCACAGCTGTCCAGGTGCCCGACCTGCCTGCATCTGCTTAGCCTCCGGCCACTAAGCCACGGATTCCCGAACAGTGCCCTTCCACCGGCCCGTGCCCTTGGGGTCACACGCCGTCTCTGCTGTCTTTCAGCCCGGACCCGCATCACCAAGCCTCCCCAGGACCAGAGCGTCATCAAGGGAACCCAGGCCTCCATGATGTGCGGAGCCACGCACGACCCCCGAGTGACCATCAGGTAGGTGCTCCACTGTGGCCTGCCCCAGGAAGGAGGGAGGACAGAGCTGAGGGGACAGCATGTCGCCCGGCAGTGGCAAGGCTTGGGGTGCGCATCGTGCCTGGAGCCACTTACAGGGTGGGGGTGTGCAGACTTCTAAATCCACACCGAGGCACGGGCTGCCTTGCACTGAGTTCAGGCAGTGTCCACGGCGGAGGGGAAAGAGGAAGGGAGTAGAAACAGGAGCGGAAGAGGAAGGGAGGAGGAGGAGAGGACGGGTGGACGGGGAGGAGGAAGGCTCAGCTGCTCTCCGTGGTCTGCGACATCCCTGCCCGGCACCTCCCTGAAGTGCCCCGACTTTTGGTCCCTCTGACCAACGTGACGTGGCCTGGTTCATCGAAGCCCCGGAGGGTCTGCTCACCTGATGTTAGAATCCCCAGCAGAGGGGTCTGGGTAGGAAGACGCAGAGGCAGACGTAGGGCTGAGGCAGGAGTCGACCCCTGGGGGGACCCTCCAAGGGAGCAGGGACGGGGAGGTGCCAGACTGAGGTCGTCCTGACCATGGGAAAGCCGGGACCCTGGCCTGCAGGGCTCAGTCCTGCTTTGGAAGAGGTGGGGACCGTCAGCCGTGGACTGAAGCAGCCAAGAAGGGGTGCGAAAGTCAGGACCCCTCCCGGGCTTGGAAGGGTGACACCTGGGCCACCCCCCGAAGGTTTCATGCACTGAAACCAGGAGGACAGAGCACTGGGCTCTCTCCCCTGAGCTCCTTAGAAATGAAGGTTCCCATCGGTGCCTTCTCTGCTCAGTGAGCAGTGTCCTGGGAAGCCACTGGTACCCTGAAGGGAGGGACCTGGAGAAATGGCCTCCCCGGCTCCACCAGGCTGCCGCGTCCTGGGGCGCCATCTGGCGGCCAGAGAGCCAGGAGGGTCTTCGCGGCCACAGGAAGCCAGATCCTGGGGCCAGGGGTCCAGGGAGCTCTGGCTTTGACCAGCATGGCTTCTCCGAGGGCGCACGGTGGCCCCAGAGGGGAATCCCAACGCGGGGTGAGACCATGGACCAGGCTGTCTTCATTTCTGGGTTTCTTAGATTTTTCTTTAAAAAAAATTAATAAACCAGCTGTGAAAAGGTCCTCAGAGAGAAGCCACACAGAATCCTGCTGTGAGTCTCAGACAGGGACATGATGTCGCACGTCGCACCTTCTCTATTTTTAGCTTCCGTTAATTGAAAAACTATAATAACAAGAAGTTACGTTAATTTGGTAACAGTTCAGATTTATTGATAAAAATGTCATCGACTCCTATGTGACTTGCATATTTTGCTCCTTCTCTACAAATAATTCTTTTTTTAATGTTTTTTAAATTGTTGATGGACCTCTATTTTATTCATTTATTCCTATGTGGCACTGAGAATCTAACCTAGTGCCTCACACGTACGAGGCAAGGGCTCTACCCTGAGCCACCCCCGCAGCCCATGCTCTACATAATTCTTGATGCATGAAGGGATTCAAAGCTCTCGTGCAACAGTTTTGTAGACCCACCCTCTTGGGACCCCCCCCAGCAATCTCCAGGTGGTGAGCCCCTGCTCCAGTTTACAGAAGGGGGTCCTCACCTGGAATGAAATTAATCAGCCAGGACAATCCTTTTAAGATGGGAGGAGAGAGCAAAACTGATCCTTCACCGCCACCACCCACCCTACAAGTGGCATCGTCGATACCCAAAGTCAGCCTTCACCTCCTCTCCCAGCCCATCTTGTCTAGATGGTGGGAATAGGGCCCTCCATCTTCTGGAGGTAAATCTTAAAAATATAGCTCAATGGCTATTTTTTTTTTAAAAAATAGCATTTTTAAAGCTCCCCAGACAATTCTTATCATATCCCCAGGATTGAAACCCCTGTTCCAGTTGGGCACAGTGGCCCACACGTGTAATCCCAGATACTCAGGAGGCTGAGTCAGAAGGATCTCAAGTTGGAGGTCAGCCTGAGCAACTTAGCAAGACTCTGTCTCACCATAAAAAAAAAAAAAACCCCAAAAACTCCTATTCTAGCTGCAAAGCTGCAAAACTCAACAGGGTCCCCTGAGCAGAAAGGATGCCAACAATCAGATGACAGCAACGTGGGGCCACTGGTCCCTGAGTGACACATGCTCAGAATCCAGCCAGGTTCCAGGCTCGGGGGGCTGGGCAGGTGCAGGCTTCAGCATGAAATCCTCCAAGACCATTCTAGAAAGAAATGCCTCTGTTTGGTGTCTGGCCCCAGATTCAGACCAAACTGGAACAATCCACTTTTAACCATTATTAATATTAATATTTTTATTATATAATAAATATTTTTAGGCTGCCTTTCCCTCTGGAGATGCCTGCATTCTCCCTTGAATATGTATCTGCTTTCCTAAATAAATCTGTCCCTGTCTCTGGTGCCTGCTAAAACTCTTTTCTGTCACGTACCCCAAGGACCCCACTGGTCCTGAGTCCAGGTTCCCCGGCTTCAGGACCTCCTCCAGGGGACATAAAGTTGAGGGACATGCAAACAGGTCTGTGTGGAGCAGAGCGTCCTTGGAGCACCCAGGGGCACCATGGGCGTGGATGGTGGGCCTGAATGTCCCCCAGGTACACCCATCCAACATTTCCTTCCACCCAGGCCTGACCCTGCACCTGTGTCTCATGGGACATCTAGGCCCTGGGATCCTTCTGCCACCCCCCCCCCACATCTACTGCTTTCTCTTAATTGTGTCTTTAGAAATAATCTGTGCTGATGATGACAGCCGAGTTCTCAGCACCCCCTATTCTTCCTCAAGGAACGCTCTCACTTCCTTCTCCATGCACCCCAGGGTGAGGCGGCACAAATGGAAAACCCCCAAGCCCAGCGGCCATCCTTGTTTAGGATACACGTTCCGAGCCCTGGTCATGCAAACAGGTCCTTGCTCTGCTGGCCGGCTCCCTCTGCCGCCTCCTCTCCCAGAGCACACCTGGGCAACTTCTGAGGCCAGCCTCCTTACACTGAGAGTTCTTCCAAAGTGCCTCCCAAAAAACAACAACAACAAAAAAATTAATTATACAACAAATTGTAGGGAGCAAACATAGAAAATGCAGATGAACTGAGACAGAGGAGGGGGAAAGTAGCGATATCAGTTCCTTTTAATCAGACATAACTGTGGTCATGCTTGGCTGCTTTTCTTTTTACATCTTTGGGGGTCCCAGGCACTGAACCCAGGGCCTTGCACATGCTAGGAAAGTGCTCTGTCGCCATGCTCCGTCCCCAGTTGTTTTTTGTCTTTTGTGACAGGGACTTGTAAGTTGCTGAGGATGGCCTTGAACTTGCCATCCTCCTGCTCAACCTCCTGAGTCCCCGAGGTCACAGGCCTGCATGCACCACTTGGGTACCATTTTTAACAACCATCAACACACTTTTCCTCGGCTTTTTTCTCAAGAACCTGGTCCCACGACAATAAATATTTTTTATCAACTCAATTTCTCAATTATTCAGGAGTTCGTTGTATGGCTGGAGTGTGATTTCTGTTACCCGTTCCTTAGTCCTGGGTATTTGCATTATTTCTAAATGTTTGCTAATATGAGGAAATCTCATCATGAACGTCCTTGTAACTGAATATTTTTACATGTCTTTGATTTTCTGAGGACTATTATTATATAAGGCTAAGAGGGCCTCTAAAGCCCTCATCAAAATTTCTTAACAGCAATTACATAATTGCAGATTATTTTGGAAAATTTCTGCCCCATCTGAGTTCCATAGACTTGGGGGTTGTCTTGTTTTGTTTTTTTTTTTTTAACTTTTATTTATGGAAATTCCTGGTAAGAACATGCTTAGTTTTGTAAAATGCCACTAGGACTGTTTTCCAAAGGGGTGGCATCATTTCACACTCCCACCAGCAGCAAGTGAGTCCCCAGCCACGCGTGGTGCCATGTTCTGGGGTCTGCTGTTCCTGCAGCTGGGTGGTGGAGCTCGCTCTTGTGATAATTTGCATTTCCCTGCTGGCTCTGCTGGGGAACCTTCCCGTGCGTTGTTTATCCTCCGTGTCTTCTTGGAGGCTGTCCGTCAAGGACGTCGGCCCAGTTCATAATCGGGTTGACCACTGTCTTATGGTTAAGAGTTCTCCGTATATTTTGGATAGCAGTGCTCTATCAGTGCTGCTCATGCAAATATTTCCTCCCCATCTGCAGTTTCTCCCTTTTTTTCTCTCTTGACACTATCAAAGAGCAGAAATTGTTCATTTCTAATTTTTTCTCATTTTTAAATATCTAATTAATTTTGAATTTTTTAATTTTAACCCAATTTACCAATTATTTCTTCCATGGATCATGCCTCTCTGGTCCAAAAAGTCAGCACCAAACCCCGGGGCACCTAGATTCTCTCTGTTATCTTCTGGGAGTTTTAGAGGTTGGCATCCCCTGTGTGATCCGTTTGAGTTAATGTTTGTGAAGGGGATAAGGTCAGCTCTGTGGCTAGAGTCTTTTTGTTTGTTTGTTGTTGCATGGTGTTTGTCCAGTTGGTCCAGCACCAGTTGTTGAAAGGACTCCTTCCTTTTAGTTTTGCCTTTTTGTTTTTGTTCTCATTCTGCTTTCATGTAATCTATTTGTTGGAGAAACCAGGTTCTATAAGACAGGTCAGCAAACTCTTTCTGCAAAGGGCCAGACAGAGAGTAACTATTTTAGGCTTTGAGAGCTGTGGGAACTTCGTCATAACCCCAGAAGCAGACCTAGACAACATGTCAACAAATGGACATGAGTGTTGCAATAAAACTTTATTTACACAAACAAACGGTGGGCCGAAGTTTGCTGACCCCACTGTAGATTCCATAATCTGGGTTTGGCTAACTACTTTCACATGTGCTCACTTGTTCTTCTCTCCCCTGAATTCCTGATTAGATTTAAGTTCAGTGACTTGGCACAAATCCTTTGCAGTCAGTGATCTATGCCTCTTGACATGCCACGTCCTGACGCAAAGAGAGTCTGCCACCCCAGGTTGTTTCCTAAGCAGCAATCACTCTCTGCAACTAGATTTGCTTTTAAGGAAACCTCTGCCCATCCGTGGATTGCTGACAAGGAGGATTCTTTTCTAGATAAAGAGATGAATGGAAGGTTATTACTGTTGTCAGTTTGTAACTAGGTAGTGAAAGCCTTGAGAATTAACTGAGCAATTTCATTGCTGGTAATTTGTCCTTGAGGAAGGGATTTGGGAGACATGTGCATATTTTGCCATTAAGGATGTTCCTCACAGCATTAACTACAGCCTCTGAAGAAAAGGAGCCAAACTGTACGCTCAATGAGAGGACATCAGCTCAATGACGGGGTCGTGTGAAAACACCCTCCTGTGGTTTAAAAAAGCCTGGTGGAATTGTCACAGCCAAAGGAGCAGGTGATATTTTGCTGAGTGGACAAGGTAGCTTTAAAAATAGGATAGACAGATTGAAGCTCAGATGACAGATGGGTGGATGGAGGGAAGGGTGGGTAGAAGGATGGATGGATGGATGGATGGATGGATGGATGGATGGATGGATGGATGGATGGATGGATAAAAGCAAGCTTGGATGGATGGATAGATGGATGGATGGATGGATATATGGGTGGAAGGAAAGATGGATGGCTGGAAGGATCACTAGAAATCACTGATGCAAATTTGCTGTGTCAGTAAAAATATTGATGTTTGACTTTTACTGACCTCGTGCATGTTTCCGGCAGCACTGAGTGTTTTATGGCTCTGCATCCTAGGGCCACCCTGTGAGGGGGGTGGCTTTAGTTCCCACATATTCCAGGTGAGAAACCGAGGCCCAGCAAGGTTAAGGAAACTTGCCCAAGGTCACAAAGCTGATGCGTGGCCGAGGCAGCCCTTGACCCGGGCTGTCCCTCTGCCGGACACCACCTGTCCATGCACACAGGGAGAGGAGTCTGGAAGGTCATTTATGGGTTCATCGTCGTTCCCTGGCCCTGGGAAACCTTCAAGTTTCTTTTGTCCTTTTCCTTTATCCTTCACTTATTTTTTTTTTTCTTATCTCTACTTTCCGCTTCTCGGTTGATTCCTCTTTTTAGACTTGGTTTAAAATATTGCAGGCGCGCTCTCTCTAGCCATCTTACATTCTCCCACTCTGGACGCTTCTAGCCCCCTGTGCCCACCATCCCGAGCCCCGGGTAATCCCTCATGCCAGCTTTCCCTGGGGGGACAGCGCAGCGCCCTGCCCCTCAGAGCTGGCCCTCCAAGTGTGTTGACGGGGACGGTAATGGCTGTATTTCCTCTAGGACAACTCCAGAGGAGATATTTCTTACTGTCAGGCCCGGGCCCGTGTGTAATTTCTCAAGTCCCCCTTTGTACCGACTGACCGGAGCTAAAGTGATTTTTTGGACACTGAAGTCAATTTGTCACAGTGATGCATTGATCTAATGATCCCCCTCATAAAACTAATTCCAAAATGCAGTCTGTGTGGGAACTCTGATTCCTTTTCCAGTGGTGATCTTTTCCCCTCTGCAGAAGCGGCCCTTCGGCTGGCTCTTTTGTGCTGCGCGTTTTGCAATGGCCTCTGGCCAAGAGCAACGAGGCTTTGACCCAGACCTGAACCCAAGGTGTAAATGACCAATAATGACTTCAGTTTGCAGTGACTGGCAGCCGCAGGAATGAGGGGCTTGGGGCCTCGCTCTCCACGCCTCCTTCCAGGCCCGTGTCCTGCCCGAGCCCCGCCAGCCCCGGAGGAACCCCTGCAGCCTGGGGTGGTCCCCACCCCGCTGGCACTGCCTTTCCAGGACAGATTTGGGATGGGCTCCCGGGGTCCACCCCTCTCCCCCTCCTCACTGGCACCTCCTGCCCTCAGGTACGTGTGGGAGAAGGACGGGGCCACCCTGGCCACGGAGAGCAACCCCCGCATCCGCCTGGACAAGAACGGCTCCCTGCACATCTCGCAGACCTGGTCAGGGGACATTGGCACGTACACCTGCCAGGTGCTCTCAGCCGGTGGCAATGACTCCCGCAGTGCCCACCTCCGTGTCAGGTAAGGACAGCCCTCCCCGGTGCCGTGGGACAAGGGACATGCAGACATGGCGGCGGGGAGGCCAGAGCCAACCCACTCCCTTTAGTGAGGACGCAGGACCAGCCTGTGTCCTCCAGGCCATTCCCTCAGCTCAGCGAGGCCCCGGTCAAGAGCAGGCATCTGGCGGGGCTTAGAGCATTGGGGCCCAGAGAGAAGACCCCCACCCACTGGACGGCCCAGAGGCCACGCTCTCCCTCTGAGCTCGAGGTGTCGTGAAAATGCAGGGCCACCCCACTCAAGTCTGCGCGGCCCTGTCACCTGACCGTGGGCCACTCAGGGCTGCAGCCATGTTACAGGGGCACAGAGCTCCAGAGGGGGCAGGGTCCCACAGGTGTCCTTGCCTAACACCTCCCATGGCACCAGAGCGGGGAGGGTCCAGGAAACCTTTGATGAGTTTGAGGCCACTCAGGCCTCTGCACACATCTGTCTTGCAGGCAACTGCCCCACGCCCCCGAGCACCCCGTGGCCACGCTCAGCACCGTGGAGAGGAGGGCCATCAACCTGACGTGGGCCAAGCCCTTCGACGGCAACAGCCCGCTCCTCCGCTACGTCCTGGAGATGTCCGAGAACAGTAAGGTCCCCGTGGCCCTCCTGCGCCCTCCACAGCAGCCCAGGCCAGCGGGGGGCTGGGGCCTCACACACGTGGCTCTGGCCCAGCTCCCCACGGCTGGCTCTGGGGCCCGTAGGTCCTTCCTCCCCATACGAAGGGAACAGTGGCTTCTTCCTGAGTCGGGGTGACAGTGACTGAGATGGTGCACAGGACAGTCCACAGGGGTGATGGCTTTTATTCTTATCTTTCTTCTCCAAGCTGCTCACTTCCAAATGAGCAGATGTGACCCGTACGGCGTTCTGCGAGGGCGTCCCAATCCTGGGAGCCCTTGCTGCCTCCCAGCCCCCTCCAGCCCCCAGGGAATCCTGGGCTAATGGGACCCAGAACGATGACCTCGTTCTGGGCGGCTGCTGGACCAGCAGGGAGGCCCTCACTCTTCTGCAGGCCAGGATGAGGCCGGACCCTGCGAGGAAGGAAGGGAGGACAGGAGTCTGGTCCCCCGAGACGCCCATCTGTGCCCCACTCTCTCCCTGCAGATGCCCCCTGGACCATACTCCTGGCCAGCGTGGATCCGGAAGCCACCTCCGTGATGGTCAAGGGCCTGGTCCCCGCGCGCTCCTACCAGTTCCGACTGTGTGCCGTGAACGACGTGGGCAAAGGACAGTTCAGCAAGGACACAGAGAGGTGAGGGAGAGGGTGTCCCTGCGGTGTCTGCTGGACACCACGGGGCAGGGCTCCCTGGGCTGCCGACTGCCCACCAGGGACAGCTCCTGGGTCAGCTCCTCTCTGCTCCCCCTGGGTGGGATGGGGTGGTGCCACTCATGAGGACCACCGTGGGTGGCACGAGGACCCCGTGAGCTGCCCCAGGCAGAGACTTCCCCAAGCCCGCGCTCCCTCACTCTGCTCCCCAGCCCCGGGGGCTGCAGCCATGTTACAGGGGCACAGAGCTCCAGAGGGGGCAGGGTCCCACAGGTGTCCTTGCCCAACACCTCCCATGGCACCAGAGCAGGGAGGGACCAGGAAAGCTTTGGTGACTTTGAACCAAAACAACAGGTGGTCCCTATCAAAGCCTCCCGCAGTGATACCCGTTCACATGGAAGAAATCCTACCCCACGCCACCCCGCAGGACCAACAGCCACCTCACTGAGAAAGACGTCAAGGTCATGGGACAGACCAGACTCACTCATGTGATTTGGGGTTTTTTTTGTTGTTGTTGTTTTATTGGTTGTTCACAACATTACAAAGCTCTTGACTTATCATATTTCATACATTAGATTGAAGTGGGTTATGAACTCCCA